ACTTTGGGTATCCCTAATATCGATACCCGACATAGGGGTTACAGACGAGCGAGAGAGAAAGAAGTTCCCAAGTCTTTAGTGAAAAGATCAAATAGAGTTGAGTCTTACTGACCTTGTTCAGCCATGTGCTCGTTAGCCTTCCCTCTTCTTGGGCGTCCTGCTTTCCCTTTTATAAGTGAAGGGGAAGGCGTAGGTTACAGAGAGAGAAGGAGAAAAACGAGGGAGAAGAAGGCCTCCAGGGCCACCGGGTCCTTCTTCTCCTTCATATGGGCCCCGTCGACGCTGTAGATGGTGACGGGGACGCCTCCACGTCGGGCTTTTGTTCACCACTGGTGCCATGCCCTGGCGTCATCAGTTGGTCGTGGCGTCCCATCCCATCCCGGTGGACGGCGTGGTGAACCGACGTGTCTGTCAGCGGTCATACGGGGAGTAGGCAGCACAACGACCACACACCCATCACTGTTGGCGATGTGAACCCTCGGGCGTGGCCGGACGTGGCCATGGGTCACGTCGAGACGTGCCCGCTTCCCTCCCGGTGTCAGAAGTTTGACCCTGGGGTCGTACCCTCAGACCCGTAGTGGTTGGAGACGGTATGGGTCCTCGTCGGGCAAGACGAGCCTGCGCCCCGGGGTCGGAGACCGTCCCATCGGGGTCGGTGGAGACTGAACTACGTCCTTGATTATCTAAGCGAGTCGTTGTCCGCGGTCCTCAGATCCTTTCTTCGGGTATCCCTAATACCGATACCCAACACCACTCTAAGTCGAATTATCTTGAGTTAATCAACTTCCAAATGAGAAATTGTACGCGAAGTCACAATTAATGAACAATGATAATGCATTTGTCTTTCATTAAAAACCCAATTCCTACTCAAATACTAATTTACTACCCTTTCCCGAAAAGTGATTAGTGGTAGTTGGCTCTCTAACAATGTGTTTGGTTTACGACACCGACCAGTTCGGGAATGATTTGAACCTACGTTTGAACCTCCATCATCGTTTGGTTTAAATTACGGCATAAGCTCGTCAGTTGGTTCCGCAAACAAGCTAACAAGGGGAGCCAGTTGGTTACGCGAAAATTCATTGGATGGATTCGTGACGAACCGAACCGCGCTGAATGAAACCAACTGGTAAATCAAACACGAACACGTCGTAAATCTCTATTCCCTTTCCCACGGTATTTGGTCCTTCAACTATTACTCGAGGCTTAATTTCATCCCTAAACTTTCAAAACGGTTGTTTTTATCCTCAAACTCTACTTTTAGGCTTAATTTCATCCTAAAACTACGAAGATAATCGTTTTAGTCCTCAAACTTTGCATTGTATGCACAATTTCATTAATGAATTATCAAAAATGCATTTTGACTCAACTTCGGCTTTTGTCTAGCACCAAACACAATTGAGATGGTCACTCATCCTTAGATACAATTGTCCATAGCATCGTCCCAGCTACTAAATATGATAGCACACTTTCAACATTTATATTCATATTCTAAGATGAATATAAATATAGATCTAAATAGTCTTAAATATGAATTATTTTTATCATGTGGATAAAAAATTATTTTACACAAATGGTTATTAGTTGAGCCTAACTCTAGAAGTAACTAAGGAAAAATTATAGATCTATTATTGTTTCAATATATTCATGTATTCTTAAAGATTAAATAGTGTTAGAAGTAATTATAATTGCTCTCACAAAAATCATTTAATCGAATATATATATAAACAGTACCACTGTAAGGTAACATTAAAAATAAGAACTTGAAAATATTAATGGCCACCAATGAGTTTCTGGATGAATATTATTTTTCTATCTCCATTCGCAAGTAGTGTTGGCGCTCACTAGGTGCAACAGTGCAACATTCCACATAGGACGATAGACAAAGTTGAGTTGAAAATAAAATTTTAAAGACTGAAATACACTTTGATAGTTTACGGATGAAATCGAGCCCAAAATACAAAGTTTGAGGACTGAGATGATCATTTTCATAGTTTTGAGACGAAATTAAGCCTAAAAGTAGAGTTTAAAGACTAAAACAACCGTTTTAAGAGTTCGTGAATGAAACTAAGTCTCGAGTACTAGTTTAGGACCAGAACGGCTATCTTCGAATTCTCGTCCCATCTTTTCTATTAACCCCGACCATTCTGTCCACCTTCACCTACGTTAATTTCCGTCAAAAAGAAAATCAAAAGTTACTAACAGTGCTATCCTGCTGCAATACTTAGGGCCTGTTTAGATTCCAAAATTTTTTTGCGTAAATTCAAGATTCCATCATCATATCGAATCTTTGGATGCATGCATGAAGCATTAAATATGAATAAAAAAAAAAAAACTAATTACACAGTTTAAGGAGAAATTCACAAGATGAAATTTTTGAATCTAATTAGTCCATAATTAGACACTAATTACCAAATACAAACAAAATGCTACAGTAAGTCAAAATCCAAAAATTTTTGAATCTAAACGCCCCCTTACTCCATAGGAGTACGGTCAAGTTGAAGAACTCGTGTCGTGCTACTGCACACCAGAACAATTGGCCTGCTCGTCAGCGATGACGTCGCCCAGCTCGAACCTAGTCATAGCCGCCACCGAACGTGCCGCGTGGTCGCGAATGGGAAACCGAGACCACTCCATTTTTAAATCGGAACGGTAGAGAAGTGGAACTACGGACGCCGGATTACTGCATCAGCCATTACAGGATTTGAGGGCAGCGCTACTTCTTTTATTATCATTTTTATTAAAGATAAAGAAAAAAGAAGGGCTGCGGTACTCATCAACAATAACTAGACCAGTTTAGCTTATTAGTCAATGTTTTTCTTTCACAACAAATCGACATAAGTCGGGATAAATACAAAATGAATAAAACAAAAGGTCAATGATGGCATGAGCTTTATAATATAAAAAACCATGTAGTGGCTCACTTTTTATTATCCTCTTCCCCACTATCGAACATAGAGTTATACTCTCGTAGTACATGCCATAGAAATGTCTTGTACTCGTCCTGTTCAAAAAACCTTGTTATATTTAATTTGGTGGCCCTCTATTTTTAGATGTAAATTCATTTTTAAATCCTTCAAATTTATAAAATTTTGTAAGTATTTCGAGTAAAAACCTACACATATAACTCATATATGTTTCTATTCTACTAAATAAGTTAAAAAGGTGTCTGTAGTTGCTAATGTTTGACCAAATCTCGTCTTTTTATGACATCTTTTAGGAGGACCTTATATCTTACTATAAATTAATCTGGTGGTTAAATATTTGCATTTATGGAACTAGGGTAGGCCTAAAAAGATTGAATGCTGCTTAGAAAGAGTATTATTTTGTTTTGCGGAGTAAATGCTTGACAGTAAAACTGTATGAGTCAGCCGCGGGGAAACATCGGACGGTAGGCGCAACCAGTTCCATTCCATGAGGCTTTCTACCTGCCACTATCCAGAATTTATGAAACCTCCACGTAAAATTCCAAAGGTGATATGCCCACAATGTTTCTATACATGAATGCAAGTACAATGATATTTTTTCACGCCATTGTCAGAAACGAACTGTAAATAAATTTTTAAATCAGCCAATATTTTTCTCAAAGTCCAAACACAAAAAGGCAAGCGGCTGCGGGCATTTTTTCTCCACTGACGAAACCAGCCAAGTACTGTACGTACCACTGCAATTTTTCTGTCCTGATGATCAATAAATAATGATCTGTGTTGGTCAAAATCCCAAACAGTCCCCAAAGGCCCAAAGTGCGGCTGCGTTTCCAGCAGCCACCATCTCCACTGACGAAACCAGCCAAGTACTGTACGTACCAATTAAAATTTTGCAACTATTTTTCTCTCCTGATGAAATAAATAAAAAATAAAAAATCTTAATTCTTTAAATAACAACGAGAATCCAGTTACAGTCCCCCCAAGCCCCAAGCGCCGGCGCCTTCAGATCCAAACCCATAAATAAACCTCATTAGGACTTCCAGTATTCTACTGTATTCTCTCACCACTTCCTCCGCTCTTTCGTCCTTCCCACGAAGGCGAGGAGTGTGGTGCCCCGTGCCCGCCACGGCGTGGGATGCTGACGCTTCGTCTCCGCCTCCGCCACCGCCTCTCCGGTTGATCCGCCGCCGAGGTGAGCGCTCCGTCCCGCCCGTGGATCCTCCCGATTGCGAGCCATGCTATGGATTCTTCCGCGGCACGTGTTCCTCACTTCCTCTGATTTCGATGCCTTGTCGCGTAGCCCCTGTCAGTTTGAGTGGCTCTCGTTGGGCGACCTCGCGCGCGCAAGAGATAAACCGAAGTTTTACCGGGAAAGTTGTTGCGGGCGAGTTTCCCTTTCCCACATATTTTGTGGTAGCCTCTGCGGAGATGATAAAGCCTCGTTGTTAATATCGCCGTTTGCCCTTTTCGTGCCTGGCGTGTCTTAGTGGACTAGTGGAGTGGGCATGTGACGCCGCTTCCGCCGCCGCCGCCGCAGCACCGCTCGTTCGTCAGATCCACCCGCTCGTGGATTGGCTTCTCCTTCGGCTTGCAACTGGCAAGTGATTCTGGCCTTGGTTGGATGTGTTCTCTCGGTCCATTTAGTTAGTTTTGGATTCGTGTGTTTCGTGCTGTGGTGCCCTATCCATCCTTGACTTGATGAGGTGATGATTCTTCACTTCTTCAGTATGCTGGTCGATTTTTGTTGAGCCGCACTCGTACCCAATTATTAAGCTGGGTCCAGTTTTTATTTTTTATTTTTTTTGTGGGCATCAACTGAATCTCCATGCCGTCGTCCCTCGGAAAGTCTGCTTCTGTGTATACCTTCATTTGGTGAAATTATCTGCATCAGAGTACTTAGAAACCGAAGTGTTTGTTCTAGTTCATTTTTGGGTTAGTAGATAAGTTTCCTGTTAGGTTGGTGTGAATGACAGTGCTCATTATCTGGATTATCTCTTATTTCATTGGTTTAATTCTTGAATTCAGGAGAACATCAGAACTGATTGAAGAACAGGGTTGGTAAGTGGAGGGAGTGAGATGGGGTTCGACCCACTGGAGTGGTACTGCCAGCCGGTCAAGAATGGTGTGTGGTCGCTTGTGGTGGAGAATGCGTTCGGCGCCTACACTCCGTGTGGCACTGACACCCTGGTGGTCTGCATCTCATACCTCGCACTCTTTGGCGTTTGCTTCTATCGTATATGGAGGACGACGAGGGACTACACACTGCAGCGGTACAAGTTACGTTCACCATACTACAACTACCTGCTTGGACTACTTGTGGTGTACTGCATAGCAGAGCCGCTTTATCGGATTGCCACTGGTACCTCCATCATGAACTTGGATGGGCAGACTGGCCTTGCTCCATTTGAGGTGAGAAGGATCTACATGACATTGTTATCAAGTTCTGCTGAATCCATATGCTGATATGCTATTGCCCCTGTACAAGTATGTTTGCATAGTGCCAGTATGATCACTAGATTGTAGGAAGTACTTTATGTGATTTGCAGAAATTATTGCTTTTTATATTCATTCTGACAAGTACAGGAAGTTTATCTTTTCTTTGGTGGTACTTCTCAGCCCCATTGTAAAGATTGCCAAGTTGGAAAATACCATCCAAGTAATTTGAATGTGTGCCCTTGGCCCTTGCTCATGTCATCGGACAGTAGTTTCCAATTTGTACATATTATGATGGCAGGGACCTAATTTTCTCCTTGATTTTGTTACCACTATAACTAGAGTTAACTTGCAATGTGCAGAAAATGCTGATAGAGTATATAACCATAACTCAAGTGAACAGTTCCTTAGTTATAAAATTATGTAAAATATGATCTAACCTTTACTTTTTACATATTTTTGTAATTTTTGTCCCTTTGGGTCATTTAAAAATCTGCATTTCTACAGATTGTCTCATTGATCATTGAGTCTGCTGCTTGGTGCTGTATGCTTGTAATGATTCTGCTCGAGACAAGAATTTACATCAATGAGTTCAGATGGTACATTCGGTTTGTGGTCATTTACGTGATGGTTGGTGAAGCTGCTATGTTCAATCTTGTGCTCTCGGTGAGGCAGTTCTACAGTTCAAGGTACACTTCATCTGTAACATTTATTTTCTTGATGGGACCTTTATTGGTCGTGACTCTACTTTTTTGTCATGTTAGCACTTTTAGTATTGGCTAACTTTGATATCTTTTTTCCTATTCAGTTCAATCTTTTACCTATACTGCAGTGAGATTGCATGCCAGGTCTGCATCTTCATTTCTAGTGTCCAATAACCATATTTTTATTAGCACTCAGTACTCTCATACTGAACCTTTATTTTCTACAGTTCTTGTTTGGAATTCTCATGGTGATTTATCTGCCTAGCGTGGATCCATATCCAGGTTATACCCCGATCAGGAATGAGGTGCTGGTTGATAATACTGATTATGAACCTCTTCCCGGCGGTGAGCAGATTTGCCCTGAGAGACATGTCAACATATTTGCCAGTAAGTGATTAGAAGTTGTTGCACACTATCATATATGCACACAATTAACTTTCTATCACTGTTCAAATAATGACAGATTATGCTATCTTGTGACTTTGCTAGGAATATTCTTTTCATGGATGACTCCTCTAATGCAACAAGGATTTAGAAGGCCCATTACAGATAAGGATATCTGGAAATTGGACAGCTGGGACGAGACTGAAACTTTGTATAGCCAGTATGTTTTTTTTTTTCATTTTCCTTGTTAAAATGTCAAATACTTGAGCCTGCAAATCTTAACGTGGCAATCCTATCTCAGATTCCAGAAATGCTGGAATGATGAACTTCGAAAACCAAAACCTTGGCTGTTACGAGCTCTTCATAGTAGTCTTTGGGGAAGGTATGCACATTCGACACCCGATACCTATACATCTGATTTGATGTTTCTGCCTATAGTGATTAGTTATTTTCATTTTCAGGTTCTGGCTGGGTGGATTTTTCAAGGTACATTTTCTTTAGATCATGTAGTTTCCTTTCAATACTTTTGTGATATTCTCAGCAGCTCATCTTTTTTCGCTCTCAACTTTGTAGATTGGCAATGATGCTTCTCAATTTGTTGGTCCACTTGTATTGAACCTGTTGTTAGAGGTTTGGCTTCTCATTCCATGACTCTCCCCCCCCCATCGTTAACAGTGCTACTGACGTGCATTGATTCTAGAACAGAATGTGTGATTATGCATATCTTAGCGCACCTTTATTTTGCTCTTTGCACCAATAAACTTTTTTTTTCTTTTTTTTTGACAGTCTATGCAAAAAGGTGATCCGTCTTGGAGCGGGTACATCTATGCTTTCTCGATCTTTGCAGGAGTGGTATGGATCATTTTTGTTTCCTGCATGTTGTGCACCACATTTCTTTGTTGTTTCGGGGTAGTTGAACCAACAATTATAGTACTTACGACTCTTTTCATTTTTCAGTCACTTGGAGTTCTTGCTGAGGCACAGTACTTTCAGAACGTCATGCGTGTGGGTTTCAGGTTGAGGTCCACATTGGTATGTGTTTCTTTTATACAACAACAACAACAACAACAACAAAGCCTTTAAGTCCCAAACAAGTTGGGGTAGGCTAGAGTTGAAACCTAGCAGAAGCAATCAAAGTTCAGGCACGTGAATAAGTGTTTTCCAAGCACTCCTATCTAAGGCTAAGTCTTTGGGTATATTCTATCATTTCAAGTCTCCTTTTATTGCCTCTACCCAAGTCAACTTCGGTCTTCCTCTGCCTTTCTTCACGTTACCGGTGCTTCTGGAGGTCTCCGTTGGACATGTCCAAACCATCTCAACCAGTGTTGGACAAGCTTTTCTTCAATTGGTGCTACCCCTAATCTATCACGTATATCATTGTTCCGAACTCGATCCCTTCTTGTATGACCGTAAATCCAACGCAACATACGCATTTCCGCGACACTTGTCTGTTGAACATGTCATCTTTTCGTAGGCCAACATTCTGCACCATACAACATAGCAGGTCTAATCGTCGTCCTATAAAACTTGCCTTTTAGCTTCTGTGGTACCCTTTTGTCACATAGGACACTAGATGCTTGGCGCCATTTCATCCACCCTGCTTTGATTCTATGGTTAACATCTTCATCAATATCCCCGTCTCTCTGTACTATTGATCCTAAATATGGAAAGGTATCCTTTCTAGGCACTACTTGACCTTCCAAACTAATATCTTCCTCCTCCCGAGTAGTAGTGCCGAAGTCACATCTCATATACCCAGTTTTAGTTCTACTGAGTCTAAAACATTTGGACTCCAAAGTCTCCCGCCATAACTCCAGTTTCTGATTCACTCCTGTCCGGCTTTCATCAACTAGCACTACATCGTCTGCGAAAAGCATACACCAAGGGATGTCCCCTTGTATGTCCCTTGTGACCTCATCCATCACTAAGGCAAATAGATAAGGGTTTAAAGCTGACCCTTGATGTAGTCATATCCTAATCGGGAAGTCATCCGTGTCTCCATCACTTGTTCGAACACTAGTCACAACATTGTTATACCTGTCCTTAATGAGCCCGACGTACTTTATTGGGATTTTATGTTTGTCCAAAGCCCACCACATAACATTCCTTGGTATTTTATCATAAGTCTTCTCCAAGTCAATAAAAACCATGTATAGATCCTTCTTCTTCTCCCTGTACCGCTCCATAACTTGTCTTATTAAGAAAATGGCTTCCATGATTGACTTTCCGGGCATTAAACCAAATTGGTTCATAGAGACCCGCGTTATTGCTCCCAAGCGATGCTCGATAGTTCTCTCCCATAGCTTCATAGTATGGCTCATCAACTTAATTCCCCGGTAATTAGTACAACTTTGAATATCCCCTTTATTCTTGTAGATCGGTACCAATATACTTCTCCTCCACTCGTCAGGCATCTTGTTCAATCGAAAAATATGGTTGAACAACTTGGTTAGCCATACCATAGCTATGTCTCCGAGGCATCTCTACACCTCGATTGGGATAACATCCGGTCCCATCGCCTTACCTCCTTTCATCCTTTTCAACGCCTCTTTGACCTCAGATTCTTAGATTCTCCGCACAAAACGCCTATTGGTGTCATCAAAAGAGTCATCCAACAGAAAGGTTGTGTCCGTATTCTCACCATTGAACAATTTGTCAAAATACTCTTGCCATCGATGTCGGATCTCATCCTCCTTCACCAAGAGATGATCTCTTTCGTCCTTAATGCACTTAACTTGGTTGAAGTCCCTTGTCTTTCTCTCACGAACCCTAGCAATCCTATAAATGTCCTTCTCTCCTTCCTTCGTACTCAAATGTTGGTAAAGATCCTCGTATGCTCTACCCTTTGCCACACTTACAGCTCGTTTTGCAGTCTTCTTTGCCACCTTGTACTTCTCTATGTTATCCACACTCCTGTCATGGTACAAGCGTCTATAGCATTCTTTCTTCTCCTTAATAGCCCTTTGGGCCTCCTCGTTCCACCACCAAGTATCTTTAGCCTCGCCTCTACTTCATTTGGTTACTCCACACACCTCTGAGGCCACCTTTCGAATGTTGGTTGCCATCTTCTCCCACATGTTGTTTATGTCCTCTTCTTCCTTCTAATAGCCCTCTTTGATAACCCTTTCTCTGAATACCTCTGACGTCTCTCCTTTCGGTTTCCACCACTTTGTTCTTTCAATCTTAGCTTGTTTATCCCTACGGGCACGCACCTAAAAACGAAAGTCTGCCACCAAAAGCTTATGTTGAGAAACAACACACTCCCCTGGTATCACCTTGCAACCTAAACATACTCGTTTGTCCTTTCTTCTTGCAAGGACAAAGTCAATCTGGCTAGATTGTTGTCCGCTACTGAAGGTCACTAGATGAGATTCTCTCTTTCTAAAGAAAGTGTTGGCTATCATCAGGTCAAAAGCTACCGCGAAGTCCAAAACTTCCTCCCCCTCCTGATTTCTACTACCATACCCAAAACCTCCATGAACTGCCTCGAAACCTGCGCTTGTAGTACCAACATGCCCATTAAGATCTCCTCCTATAAAAAGCTTCTCGCTACTAGGTACAACTCTAATCAGGCCATCTAAGTCTTTCCAGAACTGTCTCTTAGCACTCTCATCGAGGCCTACTTGGGGGGCATACACACTAATTACGTTCAAGACCATATCACCAACGACAAGCTTGACAAAAATCTCCTTGCCTTCTCACTCCCACCACATCATTCTTGAGGCTCTTATCAATCAAAACTCCTACTCCATTTCTATTCGCGACTGTCCCTGTGTACCAAAGCTTGAAACCTGTATTGTCCACCTCCTTCGCATTCTGACCCTTCCATTTAGTCTCTTGAACGCATAATATATTTACACGTCTCCTAGTCGCGGTACCAACTAATTCTCTTAACCTACCTATAAGCGACCCTACATTCCAACTACCTAAACGGATCCTAGTTGGTTCGACTAGCTTTTTTACTCTTCGCACCCATCAACTCAGATGTGAAGACCCTTGCTCATTTTTCACTACACACGGGCGCCAATGTAGCGCGCCACTAAGGAAGCGACGACCCGATCCTTGCTCACTTGACACCATGCCCAGATCGCGACACGGCGCGTCACCAAGGGGGTGTCGACCCGGCCCTTGCCCATTTAACACCATACCCGGGTTCCGATATGGCGCGTCGCTAAGAGGGTTACGTCCCAACGGTTTTCTTTCGGGTTTCATCTCCATTAGAATGGCTAGATTTAACGTTGGCTCGCCACGTCTATCACAACCCTCCTCCTTTACCAGGGCTTGGGACCTGCTATGTTGAGATAACATAGGCGGAGTTGTATGTGTTTCTTTTATATGAAGAACTTTTTTTGTCCTTCTGTAAGAGGTTGTACAGTAAACAGCCATCCTTGAAAATTGAAATATCTTGTTCCACTTTCTTGAGACCACTTACTTTTATTTAGGTTGGCTTGGGGATCACAATTCCTGATTTGTGATAACATGTGGATTCCCTACAAAGCCTTTTAGTCCAAGCAGATTGTGGTAGGGAACTTAATGACATAATTGAGAGTGTTTTTGCAAATTCCCCTTTAACATCATAGAATAGACCTGGTTTTGTTGGTAATGATATTAGTTTAATGTGAATTCATCTTTAGCATCTAGAATACAGACCTGCTATTAGGTTTCTACGTTAAAGGTTTTGTATTCTTCTTTTAGCTACAGTCATCAAAGTTTTCATCGAAATCTGACCTTTTGTTCTTGTACAGATTGCAGCTGTTTTCCGCAAGTCTTTGCGACTAACTAATGAGAGTCGTAGAAAGTTTGCTTCTGGGAGGATTACCAATTTGATTTCAACTGATGCGGAGTCCCTTCAGGTACATTTTTGTGTTAGACTGGCTCAATGTTACAAAGGATGGAAGGACTGAAGGAAGGAGAAAGTACCATGTGTGGATGCCATGCATGCTGCCCATTTATGGCTTTCTGTTTTGCACCCTTCTAATTTAGATTTGTACCTTTGCAGCAAGTGTGCCAGCAGCTTCACAGCCTATGGTCTGCTCCTTTCCGCATTGTTATTTCCATGGTCCTTCTATATGCACAGCTTGGTCCTGCAGCATTAGTCGGTGCACTTATGCTGGTTCTTTTGTTTCCAATTCAGGTACATTTCTCTTTGTCAATATGCATTCCTGGAATTTCTGGCATTGCATATCTAAATGTGTCTACACCGTCTGTTTTAGTGACAGTTCCAATGTTACTAGTGAATTGGCTTCTACATTTGCTAGAGAAAAGATGTTCGCTATGTACAAATCCTTGAGGACATTGGGGTTGATATAGGAGCCTTACTGTAATCATGCAGTTGTGAAATTTTGATTCATCTGTTGATATTGTAGTCCCTTTTGGCTTGCACCTATTCGTGCTGTCAGCAATCAGCATGTATGTTTTCTTAGCAATCCTTATGACTTTGTTCAGCTCCTATTTAGAAATATCAATTAGAATTTATCTGTTAATATGTTGGGATTTCTAGGAAGAACCACTGGTTATAGTCTCTGTATGTCAAAAATAAATAGCCAGAAATTTAGTTGTCAAGTACTCTCTCCGTTCCAAATTATAAGACGTTTTGGCTTTTCTAGATACAATTGCTTTTACTATGTATCTAGATCTAAGTGCATAGCAAAAGCTATGTATCTAAAAAAGCCAAAACATCTTATAACTTGGAATGGAGGGAGTAGTTATTTCACACTTCATATAGATGAAGTGGTCCTGGAAGGCTGGAACTAAAATTTTAAAAGCTTTATGATGTATCTGTTCATTTAACGGCCTGTGTTTTTCCAGTCAAGGTTGATAACACAGATTGTGGGGTCAGTTTGTTGTTGTAGCATCTTCAGGACAATCTATTTGTAAATTTTGACACATCTCTGTCAAATAAGTTGTGGTTTGTGAAGTTTCTTTAAGTTTACTGCTTTTAGCTTTCAACATAGATTTGCCTGGTTAATCTATTTGTATTTAATTTTTCAGACAGTAATCATCAGCAAAATGCAAAAACTTACTAAGGAGGGGTTGCAAAGGACCGACAAGCGAATCAGTCTCATGAATGAAGTATTAGCTGCCATGGATACAGTCAAGTATGTTATATTCACTTTTTTGTTATCACGATTAGTAACATTTAGTTTTGGTTATAACTGTTCCAACTTCCAAAAACTTCATTGTTAGGTGCTATGCTTGGGAGCAAAGTTTCCAGTCAAAGGTGCAGGACATCCGCGATGATGAACTTTCTTGGTTCCGCAGGGCTCAGTTGCTTGCTGCGGTATACTCCTTTAGTTTTGCAATAATTCCAAGATTGATGTTTTTGTACATAAGATGACTTGTGCGAAGTTCTGCCGTGCACCATGTATGTGCTTTCAAAATTAAACTCAAGTTTGCACTATTTATCATTTTTCTTGCTTGTTGCAGCTGAATAGCTTTATCCTGAACAGTATACCGGTCGTTGTCACTGTTGTTTCGTTTGGTGTATATTCTCTACTGGGAGGTGATTTGACACCAGCAAAGGCGTTTACTTCTCTTTCATTATTTGCAGTCTTAAGGTTCCCACTTTTCATGCTCCCGAATCTGATAACTCAGGTATGTATGACACTGTCTTGTTTTCCTTTTATTAAATTATCTGTAAAGCTACTTGGAAGTTACACAGCATTTCTATTTCTATATAAAGTAGCTTCTTATGTCCTTTGATAATTGTTTTCCCTTTGTTCTGCTTTCATTTGGCTTAGAAAAGTTAAGCGCTAAATATTTTTGGCTTAGAAAATTTATCCGGCTAAATTTTTGTCTGGGATTTTGATTCTAACCATTGATGGCTTGATTTTCTGTGTTGTTTTTCCTTCAACAGTGATGTTTGGTACTCACAGTTTCTTAACAGTATTGCTTTTCTTTTTAAATTCAACAGGTGGTTAATTGTAAGGTGTCATTGAAGCGTCTAGAAGATCTCCTGTTGGCTGAAGAGAGATTACTTCTGCCAAATCCACCTATTGATCCTGATCTTCCAGCCATTTCTATCAAGAATGGGTATTTTTCATGGGAATCAGAGGTAGTAAATTCATGTTTCATATATTTTTATTTACTTGCCACTTTCATTTATTTATTCTTCACTCTTCGAATTGCTGCCCTTAGGATTTATGGTAGTTGATTTCTTGTCCCCTGATTCTCTAGCCATCAGATATTGAAAAATATGTCATTAGCACAACTCTCTTCAGGTAGGTCTGAAATGGACAGTGAATCAAAGTATTTATAGGCTATCATGCTCCATGGGCAGGAGTAATCAGGACTAGAGATAGAAACTTATTACCAAATAGCCCATGTTGTAAGATAGCTAAAAGAAGATGACATATGTTGATGTCTTCCTAGTTGATCATAGGACTCAAGTTGCTACTCTCATTGCCCCTTATAGTCTTATATCAAAATCCTTTTTGCCAATATGAGTCTAAAGCTATCAATGTGAACTTCATCTGATTTTAAGATGCATATTAAAAACCAAAATTTTGAATGTTGGCAGGCTCAGAGACCAACTTTATCAAATGTAAATCTGGATGTACCTGTTGGAAGTTTAGTTGCAATAGTTGGAAGCACTGGTGAGGGTAAAACTTCTCTCATATCTGCAATGCTTGGAGAAATACCACCAGTATCTGGATCAGGTACCTCAGTGGTCATTCGTGGATCAGTGGCTTACGTTCCTCAAGTTTCCTGGATCTTCAATGCTACCGTGAGATTCTCTGCTGCTTTGTTGTGTCAAATCAAACCATATATAACTTCTGCACAGATCTAACCGTGACCCCACAGGTACGGGACAATATTTTGTTTGGGTCTCCCTTTCAACCCCCACGCTATGAGAAAGCGATTGATGCCACTTCATTGCGGCATGACCTTGACCTACTCCCAGTAAGTTCTAAATACAAGTATTCCATTCTTCAATGTTCAGATGGAAATTTTGGAAAATTATGGCATCCATTTGACGAAGAAAGAGCTTCCTGGAGAACATGTTCCTTCATTTGACATGTTATAATCCAGTGATGCCTTTGTATTTTTCTAATACTGGTGCATGGTGTTTTAATTTGCCACTGCACATTAACAAATATTGGATTTGATTATGCTTGCTATCAGGGAGGCGATCTGACAGAGATTGGTGAAAGAGGAGTTAATATTAGTGGAGGGCAGAAGCAAAGAGTTTCAATGGCAAGAGCTGTGTATTCTGATTCAGATGTGTACATATTTGATGATCCACTCAGTGCATTAGATGCCCATGTTGGCCGTCAGGTGATTCACCATCTTGTTTGTGCTTTCTATTTTTATGATCTATACTCACATACTGAAAAGGACGAATCATCGACAATGTTCTGATCCTTATTATTAGGTTCTCTTTACCTTAGGAGGCATGGAGACTAGTCTGGACAGGATAACAAGATAAAAATTAACTCTTGCCACCTAGAACCCAGATATTAATAACAACTTAGTTATGTTCATTGACACATGGATTTGTGCAAACTGAAAAGTATAAAGTAATATCAACAAACACCGATGTATTGCTGCCTGACAATACATAATAGATTCATCATTCACATTAATTACTTGATTCATAGTTTATACAACTTATCTCAAATGGCTTTCTGTGGATATTTCATGTATCACACATCATATAATAATCATATGGTCTTAATGTGTTGCACTGTCTGGGATTAGTGATTGCAATTTAGGTTTCTGCTGTAATAAATATTTAGGCTTTCTGCATTGTGTTCTTTTCCTATTTTTTCTTTATTCTTAATTTACTCCTGAGGTTGAGCTCTAGAATCTTAGTAGTTTTGAGTGGTTAGAGGTCGTGTTTTTTCTTCAGAGTGGCACGCCTGTAACTTTTTTTGCCTGGTGTGTGTGTCCAGTGTGTTGGGAGATGCTTCTTTAGCCTCTCCTTTGTATTATACTATTATTTCTTCTTCCTTAAATGAAATGACACGCAGCTCTCCTTCGTTGTTTGAAAAAAAAATACTCTTGCCGACTATTATCATTGATATTAGTACATGTGCAGGTATTTGATAAATGTATCAAAGGGGAACTACAGCATAAAACCCGGGTTCTTGTTACCAACCAGCTGCATTTTCTGCCATATGTTGATAAAATACTGCTAATTCATGATGGTGTAATTAAAGAGGAGGGTACTTTTGATGAACTTAGCAACAGTGGGGAGCTCTTCAAGAAGCTCATGGAAAATGCTGGAAAAATGGAGGAACAGGTGGAAGAGGATGAAAGTAAACCAAAGGATGTTGCAAAACAAACTGAAAATGTGGATGTTATAATAGCTGATGAAGGTTCACAGAAGAGCCAGGATAGTTCTAGTAAAACAAAACCAGGAAAATCTGTGCTTATTAAACAAGAGGAAAGGGAAACTGGGGTTGTCAGTGTGAAGGTCCTTTCACGGTAAGAGAATATTCTGTGATTGTCCTTAATCCTTTGAGGTGTATATAATATAATGCATGATTTCTGAGTATTGTGGTCTGATCTTCGCAGTTACAAAAATGCACTGGGAGGTATGTGGGTGGTGTCCATACTCTTCTTCTGCTATGCACTGACTGAAGTTCTTCGCATTTCAAGTAGCACATGGTTGAGCGTTTGGACTGATCAGGGTTCTCTGAAAATTCATGGCCCTGGTTACTATAATTTGATCTATGGGATTCTTTCATTTGGGCAGGTATTTCTACCCATTGTTTACTTATTCAATATTTTGCACCCTCTTTTGTCTCAATGATTAATGGGATTTTGAGTTAATAAAGTGGAACTTTTGGTTTAGGTTCTAGTCACTCTCTCAAATTCATACTGGTTGATTATATCAAATCTTCGGGCAGCCAAAAGGCTTCATGATGCCATGCTCCGATCAATATTGAGAGCACCCATGGTGTTTTTTCATACAAACCCACTTGGACGGATCATCAACAGATTTTCGAAGGATTTGGGTGACATTGACCGAAATGTTGCTGTATTTGTCAATATGTTTATGGCACAAATATCTCAGTTGCTCTCAACTTTCGTTCTCATCGGTTTTGTCAGCACCATGTCTCTTTGGGCTATCATGCCACTCCTGATTTTGTTTTATGCAGCTTACCTCTATTACCAGGTATGACAACCAAAAACTACATCGCTAAAATCAAAGTTTGTATTATGGAACACCGAACACATGAAAATAAGCACCACCATGACATCCACATGGGAATGACTAAAAACCCAAGTTACATCTCACCCAGAAATAAGCTGTCAGTCACCACAAAACCAAATAATTTCATCCCATCTACTAGTATTGCATGAAACAAGTTGCACAGATTAATATTGATTAGACCAGTCAGGCATTTATGGAAGGAAAAGTTTTCATATGCCTACTTCCCTCATTCTTTCAGTCTTATAGATGAATCTATCGTTACTTTTTGCCTTTGTTGACACTTTGTATTTCCATCTTCTCAGGCAACATCTCGTGAGGTGAAGCGTCTGGATTCCATTACCAGGTCTCCTGTGTATGCTCAGTTTTCAGAGGTTTTGAATGGTCTGTCCACAATCCGTGCCTATAAAGCCTATGATAGAATGGCAAACATCAACGGGAGATCAATGGACAACAACATTAGGTTCACACTTGTGAACATGGGTGCAAATAGGTGGCTAGCTATTCGTCTGGAAACATTGGGTGGCATCATGATATGGTTTACAGCAACTTTTGCTGTCATGCAAAATCAACGAGCAGAGAATCAGAAGGCCTTTGCTTCTACAATGGGTCTTCTTCTTACTTACACTCTCAATATTACCAATTTACTCACAGCTGTTCTTCGTCTCGCTAGTCTTGCTGAAAATAGTTTAAATGCTGTTGAACGGGTCGGAACATACATTGAGTTACCTTCAGAAGCTCCTCCTGTCATTGAGGATCATAGGCCACCCCCTGGTTGGCCATCATCAGGTGTCATCAAGTTTGAAGACGTCGTGCTTCGATATCGACCAGAACTTCCTCCTGTTCTTCATGGCATATCTTTTGTTATTAATGGAAGTGAGAAGGTAGGAATAGTTGGCAGAACAGGTGCTGGTAAATCTAGCATGCTTAATGCTTTGTTCCGTATTGTGGAGCTTGAACGAGGGAGAATATTAATTGATGATTGTCACACTTCTAAGTTTGGAATTTGGGACCTGCGCAAAGTTCTAGGAATAATACCACAGGCACCAGTTCTATTCTCAGGTATGTTAGTGAAAAATACTCCCTCCATTCCAAATTATAAGTCATTCCAAGAATCTTGGAGAGTCAAAGCATCTCAAGTTTAACCGAAATTATTGAGAGAATTACAAAAATTTAGAACATCAAACAGGTATACGATAAAAATATAATTAATGAAGAATCTAATGATACTTAGTTGGTATCATAAATGTTATTATCTTATTGTATAAATTTGGTCAAACTTGAGATGCTTTTACTCTCCAAAATTATTGGAATGACTTATGACTTATAATTTGGGATGGAGGGACTACATGTTAGCTGCTGGAGCTTTTTTTTTTTTAACTTGTGTTTTCTAGCTCTTCTTTTGTGGCAAATGTTTATTAATGCCCTTTCAGGTTCTGTTCGGTTTAATCTGGATCCCTTTAACGAGCACAATGATGCGGATCTCTGGGAGGCTCTGGAAAGGGCTCATCTAAAAGATGTTATAAGGAGGAATCCTTTAGGATTAGATGCTGAGGTATGCAGTTTTCATGATTTTATTCATGGAAGTTCACGACTATTGATTCTCGGTTGTCATTTTATTTTACAAATGGTATACGTATATGCTTGTACAAATATTCCACTTTTTTCTTACGAAACACAAGGTAGTCTTCAGTGAGACTCTTAAGTCAGACATGTGTTAGCATTTGGTATACTTTAATTATCAGTATTTTACGAGTGATGTCGAAGGACTTTGTTTTGTAATGTCAGGAGGAATCACTAAACAATATAATTGTGTTTTAGTCCTATAGAAAACAATACTAAATTCAGTCATTAGATTTGTATTAGAAAATTTTCAGGTTCCTTTTGGGGTTTAGAAAAAACTAGACCAACCTGGAGGAACTATGTGGCATTTTATTTAGAAGAAAATAGGCATCCTAATTTGCCTCGACGAGGACTTGAATCTCGGTGGTCTGGGCATACATCCACACCCTTGACCAACTGAGCTAGCTTAGCTTTTTTTTCTCTCTCTCTCTCTTTTGGGGTTTAGAAAGTTTTCTGTAACTTGAGTTTCACTTTATTGACACAGGTCTCTGAAGCTGGTGAAAATTTCAGTGTTGGACAACGGCAACTGTTGAGCTTAGCTCGTGCGTTGCTAAGAAGAGCAAAGATACTCGTTCTTGATGAGGCAACAGCAGCAGTTGACGTGCGGACTGATGCTCTTATTCAGAAAACAATCCGAGAAGAATTCAAAAGTAGCACAATGCTCATAATTGCCCACCGTTTGAACACTGTCATTGACTGTGACAGGTTGATTATTCTAAGTGCTGGGCAGGTATGTTCTAACCTTTTGTCTTCTTTTGTTCTGCTTGATTCTTATAATAGCTGTATGCTGACATTTTCATGTCATGTGCTGATTATTGTATGTTTCTAAGTTACAGTACTTTCAGTGTCTCTTACGGATAACAGTTCTTTAGGCCGTATTAATGTTTTTTTCTGTATCTGTCTGAACAAATACTAAATTTGACCATGGTGAACTAGTTCTTAGGTTTTCATAAGGCTAGAATCAAAAGACTAAAGAAGCTATGTATCACTCACAGTGTTCTTTGTCATGTCTCATTCATGTTGTATGGGTCTTTATGTTTGTTGTGTAGCATTAATCGTGATATTTTCACCAGTGAGGTAACTTTGAAGTAATCATTCCTATAAATAGATAATACCTAAATCAAAATTACTTCACACTTTGTCCCAACTTCATATTTGTTGGGAATTAAGTCTTGTAATGTTGTGTTTCAGGTTCTGGAATTTGACTCTCCTGAGAATCTTCTAAGCAATGAGGAGAGTGCTTTCTCCAAGATGGTGCAAAGTACAGGAACTAGCAACGCAGAATACCTCAAGGTAATTTGCATCGAGTACTGAATCTATTCTAATCTTGCCATGCAGTCACAGTGACAAGGACCATTGCATGTCTGCTTGCAATCCTGTCATGCCCATCTGTGCTAATCTGCACCATACATCATGGCTTCAGAAGTTTGCTAATTCATCTTTCTTTGTGAATGAAAAATGGTCAACAGAGTCTTGTATTTGGAAGTGGAGAAGAGAGGTCCCGGAGGGAAGAAATCAAGCTGCAAGATATCCAAAGGAGATGGGTTGCATCTAACCGGTGGGCTGAAGCTGCCCAGTTTGCGCTTGCTAGAAGCCTCACATCATCACATAGTGACCTCCTTTCACTAGAAGCTGCAGAGGGAAATAATATTCTGAGGAGAACAAAGGATGCTGTAATCACTCTGCAAAGCGTACTAGAAGGGAAGCACAATACTGAAATCGATGAATCTCTAACTCAGTATCAGGTCCCAGCTGATCGATGGTGGTCTTCACTTTACAAAGTGATCGAAGGTATGGTTGGTTCCAAGTCACTTTTTTTTCTGAGTAGCTTTGGCAGCTTTCTTTCAATCATGCTTTGGCCTGTGTGTAATGTGTCCAAGAATGATAATGCTAACTGACCTAAGTAATACTCCCTCAAGTCACTCACAAATGAGTGATGTTTTGGATAGGATCAGTCTTCAGTAAAAACCAATTAGAAATTAACAAACACTTCTACCCTTATCTTGCATTTATATCTCATTCCACAATTCTATGAAATTTGTCTTCTACATGCCATGCCAGTCTACTTTGTTTCTCAGCTGTATGTGATCCGAACTAGCAATCAAATCTGGGGGGAAAAACAGTTGCTCTGCTTATCAACAGGTAGCTTTGTTGTGATTTTTTCTTTGACTCAATTTGTATGTATCTTTCAGGCCTCGCCACGATGAGCAGATGGGGCCGCAATCGTCTGCAGCAACCTTCTTATAATTTTGAGAACAACGGTTCTATTGACTGGGACCAAATGTAGATGTAGAATTCTGGAACACAGCAGCATTGTGGAGTAGGCTGGAGGTGCCGTTATTTCTGGCGGATTTGATTACTGCGGTGTGTAGCAGTGTAGGTGATGCTGCAGCAACACATAACGTGCGAGCATTAAGTAGTAGATTCACAGTCCTGATTCCTCTGAAAATGAATAACGAGCTAGTTTTGCCACAGCAGGACGATTCCTGTACCGTCGTCCGCAACGGTTTGTAATTTCTCACGGACAGTTACGACACGATTGTATGTCGGGTTTTGATAATTTGTGCCAATGCAATTTTCTTCTTCTTCTATTGAAAAAGACAAGTGTATGTGAATGGTTAGCATCTGGCTATCGGTATCATGTGGAGTCGTCTTCCTGCACCTGAGAACGAAGCAACCTTCCCCCTAACAATCGCCTTGTAGCGATCAGAAGTTGTTCATCTTGGAGTTTCAGTTTTCAACTCCCTCGTACGTAAGCGTCAGCAATGGGCCAAGGCCCAGCACGAACCGCTGGAGTGAACCGACAGACAGGCATGAAAATGCAACATTGGCGAGATTAAAAAAATAACGCCTTGGAATTCGGCCATACCATTTGTCCAATACAGTACTAAAGAAACGTGCTGTTCCTATAAGGCTATAAGCCTATAACGTTCGTCCATCCTAAACTCGTCCAATATACTAAAGAAATGTCCAATTCCTATAATGCGGCCATTGTAAACTCGTCCATTCGTCCAATACCAAAGAAATGTGTTGTTCAGATTCCTACAACGTTAAAATTCTCTTCCGTAAATAAAAAAAGGTAATTTAGTGAGTGGGGAAGTAGATGTTTCTAAGTAAAAATAAACGGTAATATTCTACTACTACCGCACATTCGCATACTTTTTGTTACAAACTCCCTATGACGTACCACAGATGGGTGGTAAACAAAAATAATAATCAGTAATAGGTAAACTACATCACATAAACTATTTTTTTTTTACCAAACCTGTGATAGTGGGATGCCCCAGAATTGCCAGTGGTTGCCAGTGACATAGACGACAGTCTTCAATGTCCACAATGTGAAAGAAAAGAAGAAAAACAGTACTTACGATATCATAAAAGTACTCATGATACAAACTAAGCATTACTCGGCTAGTTAGGGTACCCATAATCACCGTGGAAGAAGCCATATAGTAGTCTATACGAAAACCTACCCATATAGTACATGCAGGCAGCCCATATGTGTGATGACGCCCATATTGGCATGGACTGGGGATTGAAGGGGGTGTCACACATGAGTTTGCTTTCTTGCCATTGGTGTCCCAGTTTGTCTAAATATTTATCTTTACGTGGAGAACTTCATTTTAAAGATGGTTCGTGGAAGGAGTGAGTTTGGTCTTGAGTATGGTAAATTGGGTAAGGTACATTTTTTAATCTTTATAAGTTGCATGCCCTGAACTACAAAATTAGGTAACAGACACCCTCTAACTATCGAAATGGACACATTTGGTCCCGTGACGGGTTTCTAAAGTGATTTTCTATTTTCTAAAAATAAAAAAGTAGTATTTTTTATATCTAAAAATTCATAAATAATTTATTTTAAAACAGAAAATTATGAAAATAGTACAAGTTTTTTTCTAAAAATAATGAGCACAACTACAAGCAATAAAACAATAGGAACATAAACAAATTAGTTCTAAAAACTATATATAGATCATAAACATGTAGATAGCATTTCTAGAAAAAAAATAGTACTAATTTCATATTTGTCATATAACATAAATTATTTATCAATTTTAGATTGAAAACTAGATTTTTATTATTTTTATAAAATAGAAAACCACCAACCAGCAATAGAACCATTTTTTCAGTTTTGCCCGTTTGTCTATTAATTTAAGGTTGAAAATCATACTTCCATGCAAGTTAGAGGTTGAAAAATATACTTTAGCCATGGTAAATGTGATAGTAAAATCAAAGTAAGGTCTTGAGTATGGATGAGTTATCTGTTTTGTACTCTATCAATGTTACATCACTATCAATTCAAAGACAACGTTTTTTTTCAAAACTTGATATTTAGTGCACTATATGCAATTTGTTTAGAACTCTATCATTTAGATTTCGACATTAATATTTAATGCAATACTACTGGTGTGGATATTTGGGCATTTATTTGAAGTAGGAGTGAGTCTGGTCTTGGGTTATGAGCTGTAGTGCAGGGATACGAAAATTAATGAGCCTTACACTATGACACGCAGCATTAATTAAGATATGAAAAATAAATGACTTAATTTCTTCAAGGATGTGTAAACATTTATCTTCGGCTTTATGACTTAGATTTTGAAGATTCTCAATCATTTATTTTGTGATCATACTTGGGTCATCGTATATGTATTATAAAAGCACGGGTGTGCTAGCATAGAAGCCATTCCAAACATCGACATCGTAGTAGTACAATATGACTACAAAAGCAATCATCCATCTTCTGTTCTTTGCTTTGGTTTTTGCCACATTCACGGCGTATGAGGCTTGGGGAGACAAGGATTGCTACGATGAAAAACAAAGGTTTAAGCATGAATGCAACGCAAATATCAAAAGGGGTCGAAACTATGAGCGTCCAAGTAAGTCTTGTTGTGACACCGTGCAATCGGTCGACATGGCTTGTGTTCGTCGTACCATAAGCTCCGAGGAGAAGGAATTAAGTGTTAAAAAAATTTCTTTTCTTTCAATGGCTTGCAACAACTCGGTGCGAGTCACGAAAAAATACGGAGGTAATTATATTTATACCTGATACCTTTTAGTAACTAGTAAGTAAATCCAGCAGCAGTATTTGCAAAATGTTTTGTACTTCCTCATATACAGGTAATAATGAGGGATAATGACATGTAATCTTTGTTTTCCAGAAATTCCTATACGACCAATGTGGAAGTCATTCTCGCCGCCGCCACCACATAGGCCATATCTATGAAAGATCCAAAGGGGAAGCCAACTAAAGGACAAGCATGTATAGCTTGTGATTTCATAACATGTATTATGTCATGACAATGTAACCGCGCAGAGTATCCAATAAATATGTCCATATTATCATCATGTGCCCTCACTTTGTAAGTGAATACATGAGTTCTCATTATATGCTACCTTAATAGTTCGAGCGAGTTAACGCGTGCCGCGATGGGCTACACTAAGGCATGTTTAGATGCCTAGTACTTAAACTACAAATAACTAATATATGCTAGACCTAGTAAAGACGGATCTAAATAGATTGTGCTAATGAGCCATCTTTTTACCTATGAATCCTCTAACATGTATTAGCAAGAAGAAAGGTGCTAATTGTTGCTAAAAATTAGCAAGGTAAAAGTAGAAGAACCAAACCGGCCATAGCGATGCGGAGCGGCGGCTGAACAGCCAACAACCAGCAGCACGCTCTCGGCTTGGCGTCGAGTGGATGAGAGTAAGGCTAGTAGTACAACCTGCTGCTGGCTGTATGAATCTTTGCAGCTCGATCATCTCTCAGCCACGCATATAGTAGTTTTGGTGTAGAGAATTGTGGACATCAATTTATAGTAGGACCGAGTTTGGTGTTGGATTATCATAGAGATAATACGAAAGTAAATAAGTCTTATATTATGAGAAGTACCAAGATATGAAAACAATATGTCCCTTTTTTGCATCTGATCAATGTTGTATATATCTATATCAGTTGAAGATTCATGAACTTTAAGTTTTGTTTCTGGTTTAGATGTAATGCATATTACCAGTTTGTTCAAGGATGTATGCTACTAGTACCAGCCTAATATCATAGCTAATTAGCTATGCATATGTGTGCCCCAGAGAAGCATACGCACCGCTATAATTAAGCAGTAGAGGTCGATCTCGCAAAGGAACGGTGTTGCATTGCCATCACACTCTACGATACAAAAAAGAACGGTGTTGCTTTCCTTTATTTATTAGACTACTAGACGGCCGGGTCAATCGATGGACAGACTCCGAACGTCGTCCGGAGGGAGGAACGGTGCTGTGATTATACAAACAAATAACAGTGGGCTTTGGTTCTCCTAGCGTTCTAACCTACCGTCGTCCCACCATGATCACCACGAATCAATGCGCACCAAATTAAAACCGAGAGAAAATAGCTAAAGGCACAGCAAAACACCATGCACGTATACACGTATCCACTGCACTGATCGACGTCGACGGTTTTCATCAGTCGAAGAGCTCCCACTGCGTCTGCGTGGTGGCCGCCGCGTCGAACGTCTCCCATTTCGTGGTCACCACCACCGCCTGCAGCCGCGCGTTGGACACCATGAGCACGTCCAGCGTCTCCACGCATTTCTGCACCCGCTTCGCCTGCAAAACATGCATCCATGCCTCTATCTGTCAGATTTATATACCTAGCTAGGAGACACTATGTTATTATGCCAGCCGGATTTTTTTTTCCAGTTGCTATACTAAATACTTAGCTTGCTGAATGAAATCGTTCACAAGCAAGCCAGCCATCATTTCAGAAGAAAAAGTAGACGGACTTTTCCATACTATATCTTGAGATCTTGAGGTGACCATCACAGACAATGATAAAAAGTACTTGCACTTCTTTTATTTGGCCTGTTCGGCTGGTATTAAAGCTGGCTGATAAGTCGGCTGAAGCTGTTTTGTTATGAGAGAAAAATACTGTAGATTCTAGCTGATAAGTTCAAACGAACATAGCCGATCTTTTGTGGTGGCCGTGTTGCGGCATCCAATCTACATGTCTTGCCCTGCACTCTTCGCAAATCTATTTATCTACCTATCTATCTATGGCCTTGTTTTATCTATGGCCTTGTTTAGTTGGCGAATTTTTTTGGGAAATGGTACTATAGCACTTTCGTTGTTATTTGGCAATTAGTGTTCAATCATAGTCTAATTAGGCTTAAAAGATTCGTCTCGTGAATTTCGTCTAAACTATGTGATTAGTTTTATTTTTTATTTATATTTAATACTTCATGCATGCGTCCAAAATTTGATGTGACGGAAATCTTTCAAAATTTTGTAAAA